TRYTMCGTTGACAATGATATTACATTATTACCACTACTCTTCTATAACTGTGTATTATCCTCTATTCCTCGCCTCCCTCGAAGCCCCGCAATYTCATTTAATTCGCACCGGTTAATTTATTGTTCCGGAACGATACAAATGACACGGGCAGATTGATTATAATATTATATTGTTTTTTTCGGGAACACTGTAGGTACAGTACCTACACACAACTACTGGCATTGTGCACCGTGTATATTATACCTACACGACAGTGCGTGTATGCTGCAGGTATCTCTCGTAGCATGACCTTCGCATTCCACCGTATATCTACACCGATCCGTTACCGGTGGGGGAGGGAGATATATAATAAACGATACCTTTACACACACACACACATATGTACATAYATATATATACCTACTGCAGCTTGATGATCCCATATATACGTACATTCGACCCGAACATTCTTCAGCACCTTTATATATATAAATATATGTGTGTGTGTGTGTGTAAGACGGTTTGATAGTTACCTAGATTATATAAAATTGTACTTATTTTCCTGAAAATTTATGGATACTTATCTTTTTTTTGTCATCAAATAATAATAATATGTCTATAATGACTTTAAAATAATATTTTGTTATATTATACAATAATAATAATCGTTGCTGCGTACACCGCGTGYCGACAAGTCTTATGTACCATTGAAAATCGTCTCGATATTTCGTGCAAAAAATAAAATATAATATTTATTCAAGGGCAAGAACGTGTGTGCCTTCCTACGATATACCTATATATTACACGACGTTTATTCCTTCGTGAATACTGGATTAAGCATGATGAATACAATATTATACTTTGGCACACGGGTAGTATTCATTCATTTTTTTTTTCGAAACTTTTAACAATAATAATATAATATTACGTTCCGAGTAAAACATTTTATTAATGTGCGTCTAGAACGAAAAAAAAAATACGAACACGATTCGACAATGCGCATCTCATAAAATAATACGATCCGATGAAAATTACGACTGTCACTATGCGCGACAACARCCATTTGAAAATAACGAAAAATATTTGTTTATAATTCCCCATAATATTATTATGTAATAWGTATCCGCAGGGTAGTGCGATGACACAATACTCAAATAATATATTATGTCAGTTGATAATTCTATATTCTATATAATGCGTTTAGTATACAGGTTTTAYAACGTAACTTATCAATTTTTTTTTTTCACAAGCATTCTGACACGGCGATTTTWKTTATCTACACATAGTAGAGTCAATGATGATGTTTTATATTATATACTGACGCATAATATTCAGTTTTCCCGTAAACGACGGCGACGTCGGCGCATGAAGTAGTAAATGAAAGTCATCTTTTGAGTTCAAAAAAAATGCTTAACGCTGTTACCTAAATAATACCCATATATATTATCAATGACAAACGAGTCTCACGAATTTCTGGAACGTGGGAAAAAAATCGCGATCTGTACTAGCATAACAATATTATTTTGGTGGTCGGTCGGTGGTCCACGGTAATMACAATAATAATAATAATAGTTATAAGTTGGCGTTCCTGTATATACTTTACCTGCCGCATAGTCTTAGGATCGTAGTAAGTTGTGATGGCGTTATAATATGCGCGAGCCAACGAACCATACTTATTTACAAGTCTATACGATTGTTCATAATATTAGGTGGCATAAATAGTTTGGRAAACCTTCCTCATCCATGATCGAACCAATCCCGACGACGATCGCTGACTCGTGGGTACAGGCCACAGGGTGATCTATTAACGTAATGGCTTATAATTGATCGTTTATCACTATACCTATGGTGGTTTTTTACAAGGTTATTTTAATTACAAGCTTTGATTTCATAAAAAAATTATTTATTTTTGTTTTGGAAATATGTCGTGTAACTACTTCAAAATTACGGKTTTGATAATTTTTTTTAGATTTTTGAAAAAGTATACTTAAAATTAGTGTATCTTTGTAAACGGATCACCCTGTATAATATAATAATATTTTACATTGTATTTAACTTATGTATGGCTATATAAAATGGTGTATTTGACTGATCGGATTTCTTCGCGGGAAAAATATTTACGCTACTTCATAGTATAATATTTAGTCATATTTATCGTTATCGTCGTCCGTTTTCTCAATAATTTTTTTCTCGTCGTATTTTACGATTCACGCAGAAATAAACATCTCAGGTGAAACATTAGATGCTTTCCGAATGATTCACTACGAGGAAAAAACATTTTCCTCTTTTCCGTCTCTCTCGTTCACCCTATCTCTTTCTCTCCGTGTCGATTTGCGGTACTGCATCATACGCGCATTTTTCTTGTTGTTGTATAAGCGCTTGTGTATATTTGCGAGTGTTGCAAAATATTTGATTTAGAAGATTATGTTATGTATTTTTTTTTCAGTAGTGAAAAAAATTTCTATACGCTGTTGTTTAGATCGAAGTGTAATATTTTATGCATACACACACTAAACAGACGCAGTCGCCGCGATGATATAATTTCACAGACAACTTATAAATTGTCAAATACAATGTTATATGGGAGGTAATATATGTAAATATACAGGGTAATTCACCAACCGGCAACCTTGTTCACATCTATTTTTTTTAAATAATTAATGCATTCAAATTCTGATCAATGAAATTCTTACGTGTATGCGTTTAAGGACCACATTATAGTCATACAATACATACCATTTGATAAGTGTTCTGCAGTGGTGATGTGCAAAATTTTCTTACATTAAATAACAAAGAAAATGTTTGTTTTTTTGTTGATAGTGTTAAGGTATTGATTGGAGATTTTACTATAAGGATAATAGGAATCGGAAGGTTTGGAGGGTATGATGATTTGAAATTTATACTTATTATTATTTATTAAATGGTCTGTAAATAGTTCATTATTTGCGAACATTTTCAGAATACAATAAGTACTAGCTATTAAGAATTACATTTATTTTGTATATTGTGTAAAATTATTATTAAGGGATATTTTCCTTTGTAAAATATTCATTCAAATAGCTTGGAAACTAATCGTCTGGATTTTGATTAACCAAATGATACATCAGAATTTTCAAAAAAAAAAAAAAACGTCTGCATAATGACACACAGTAAAAAAGGAACAATCGCATTATATAAGGATACAAAAAGCACACTAGATGAATCGCCCCGTAGATCGTCATTTTYATTGTTATAAAAAGAAAAAAAATGTTATTACACATACTGCAGGGTCTTGTGTCTGAGGAGCAGGTGCAGTTATTATAATAATATATGGATTATACCAAAATATGTAGGTAAGCGTACCGATATTTTTTCACACGAGAATATCGAATATAGGTACATTTATACAGGTGTCCATCATCATGGGATGATGTTACATAACAGGTGGCTCGCATATTTTTCATCGTTGCATAACTCCGGGTGGCGAAAATAGTAATAATAATAATAATAATAAAATGCGAAATAATATTACATTTTCAAAATATATATTATATGATTTTTGCCGTGACAATAAACGAATAATAATATTATTTTGTGCAATGCTGCAGTGATTAGTATACGCGCAGCTCATATATAATATAATATTAAMCACTTTATTGTGACAACCGTTGGAATAGTGGTGGTGTGTTTTTGAAACTCCGAGGCATATTAAATGTGTTATATTGACCATCTATCTGTAATAGTAGTCGTCATGTCAAAACAAAAAACACGAAATGTGTGTTGTAGTATACGTATATAAGTATTATGGTCGTGTGTACAAAACATTGGCCCGTATATATATGTGCTTTATGCGCACTGTATAGTTTTCKAACTATTATATTATTATGCATACACATTTCATTTCGCCAGTACTCGAGATTACGTGCGTTGTCGAAGAGATAAAAATTAAAAAAAAATTAACGTTTTTATGGGCTTTCGCTCATTACGGGTTTTGTCGTACGTCCAAACGATTGTGCACCGCAGTGCGTGCACGCCTACCTTTAGCTGTGCGATGGCTCGTATTGGATTGGTAATTATTACTATGGTTTTTTTCTTTATAATATTAGGTACATTTTGGATTTAAAATTAATGTTTTTAAGAAAATATACGGTTTCATATTTCCGTAATYAATGTAGTGACCTCGAATTTTCATTAATCGTATATATTTGTATGGCTTAATAGCCTATATCATTATACCTAGACATATTATGCGAGTTAAAAATGCATTACTTAATTATTATTATTGATAAATTAGTTAATGTAGAATGCATATATGCACACGATGGGTACCTAACATTAACTTGACGTTCACAAATCCTGTATTATAAAAGACAAAAAA